CCCCCCCCCCCCCCCCCCCCCCCCCCCCCCCCCCCCTCCCCTCCCGAGTTCTGACGTACGGACAAGTGAAAGACTGTGTGACAGGAAAAGGACTTCATGAACCAGATAAGCTATAGCGCTGAAACCTTGCAAGAATGTTCTCTGTCCAGTTGTAACTCAAGGAACCCAAATTCAGCTTTCATTTACGCGTTAATTGCAAACACGCGGACACGCCTACTTACTAACCAGTAACCGTAAAATGAGTTTTTCATCACGCTACATCTCACTTAAGGACAACTGCGATTTGACGCTGACAGTATTGCAACTCAGCAGCCAAAGCAGCTAGAATGCTGAAATTTCTTGTGCACATTCGATAGTTTCGCCTGAGCAAAATTTTCATATCCCTCCTACTTTCCATGTACGAACATAAGCAATTTGAAGATGACAATTTTGTATCCGCAACCAAATCACCTAAGGTGCTTGGTAAATGCTCCACGACCGTGTTTGGGCAGGCGCACTTAGAACATTTTCCGCTTTCTTCTTACACCCCCAATAAAATACCGTTTGGCATCGGTAATTCTTGGGTAATACCTCAAAACCGTGAAAAAAAAAGTGGCAAAAACAAATGCGCATTTCTGTTTGCTTGGCTAGTACTAGCTACCCAAAAATAGTGCCACTTGACGACAAATATTTGTGGGAAAAACTGTGAACCTGAAAGTCTGGTGCATGTAGCTACTGGTTTACTGAATTTGCAGCTGTACTGGATCCTTGCTGGGCGCAAGTTGAAGATCTATTTGATTACGTTCTTTCCCTTGTTGTTATTCCGAAGGCATTGCTGGAGCGTAAGGATGTGCATGTCGACATCATTTTTCCGTCACTGGACATAGTGAAGTGCCTCTTTATGCTTCTAAAAAATATACAACCATCGTGAATTTCTGGCACAGAGGCTTAAACAATTTTTAGGCACAAACTTGTCTTGTGAACTAAGGCGTTTGCGCTGATCATTAAGAATCAGTTTCTTTTTTTCAGTGCTGGTTTCAACTTATCTGCGCATAATCCTGAAAGCAACAAGCAACTTTTCCAAGATCTTTTTGGATGGAAAAAAGAGGTAGGCTTCTTGGTCTTATGCAAGAGCTCTCTATGCCAAAACGGATTTAGAATTTGACCTGATTCTCTTCAGGTTTGCAAAAAGTCGGGTTATTTCGGTTTGGGAAAGATAAATCCATTACAGATCAATTTCCGAACCAAACTAGAAAGTAACAACTTCAAACTGCCTCTCGTCGATATGGGAAGTAAATGAAGGCTGAAACCGATGTAACATGAAGCTTTCGTCTGAATACGACTAAAATTATTAGAGCGCTTTTGGCAGCACAGAGTTGATGACTCTGATTCGAGTTCTTTCGGCTGAAAGCTTTTATGGAAATTAGGCAAAGACTGGTAAAAAATCATTTTTGGTCAGTAAAGTTGGTAAAGAACTGGTAAAAAAATTATTCAAAATATACAGTAAAGAATACAAAAGAGTATAACTGGTGAGGAATACAAAAAAATATGCACTATTCGACATACAAAGCAATTCCTTCTTGGGCTCCTATACCGACCGAAAGTATGTAAAACAGGATGGTGGTATATTGCTTAAGCCATCCAGGACTTCACCAAAAAAAATGTTACTTTGCAGTTTGCACTAGAAAGAATCTTCGATTATATTAACTGTGACTACTTGAGCCTCGCAGTCTTTGTCAGATAAACGAGGTGCTGCAGAAGCTGAGCAGAAAATTAAAGCATCGATAACGAAAGTGGTGCACCGCGACGAACTGCAGGCAACATCACTCTGTAGGTTGACAGTTCAGTCCGGAATTCACGTCTTCGATGTGGAATTAGTGGAAGAACTGGCGCTATTTCGCAGCACCGTCAGTGTTTTCAACGTGGAAGAACCGCGCCCATTTCTTCACCATTGTATGGAAAGAAATGGCATGCAGGTGCAAAACACCGTTGTTAACGACAGGAAAACGCTACCCTGGTTAAACCAGGGTGAGGAATGGAGCGTGCATTCTTTCTTCTTGTAGCCGTAAATATTCATAAGCATCACTGAATGAATGATAATGAAGGGTGTCTTTCGATAACTCGAGAAATGATCCAAAGATAAGGAGATGCATCAATTTGCCAAACGCAGTTTCGAAGTCTAACAGCCTCAGTTTCGGGAAGTTATTGCTTCGTGGTGAGCATCATTACTTGTTTCAAACGCTGCCACTCTTAAACCATAAGGGTTCACATCACCGACTGGAAACAATGCGTCAACCGGTCTCATAAAAACAAGACTTCATATGTATCTTCTTTTACATTCAGCGTATTTTGCTGAGAAATTTGAACAGCGAAAAAATGAATGCATAATGCCAGTGGGCAAGAT